GTAACTTTAGATTGAATTTTTCAATTTTCATCTTAACTAGTGATCACCTTAATTGAAATTTTGTACATTTTTGTCTTCAATTTCCATGTTTTGATTATGATTAATTGCGCGTTTTTGATTGATTGTCACAATCTTGTCACCGCTAGATTGTCGTCATTGCAAATTGCCGTTGCTGTAGTGAAAGGATGAGAGAGAGTGAGAATTAGAACTTTAATTGTCAATAGAGTAGGGATGGCAATGGATAACCTACCATGTGGGTATCCATGGAGACTCAATCCAAATACTTGGGTTTCCCCTTTTTTCTTGTGTGTCGGGTAGGGTAAGTGATGTTCTTTAAATCTCAACCGGGGATGGGTATCCACTAATTTCCCCATATTTTTTTTTAGGTACATCAAAAAAAAATTTCTCCATATGTTTTCACTACCCTGTTGACAATTAGAGTTCTAATTCAACCTCTCTCTCATCCTCTCACTACAGCAATGGCGATTTGCGATGACGACAATCTAGCTGTGACAAGATTGTGACTATCGATCAAAAATACGCAATTAATCATAACCAAAACATGAAAATTGAAGACAAAAATGTACAAAATTTTAATTAAGGTGATTGCTAGTTAAGATGAAAATTGAGAAATTCAATCTAAAGTTACTATCAAATCAGAGAGAAATCCAATAAAACAATTTCAGGAGCTATTGAAACTAGAAAATTTATTCTATAAATTAGGGATGAACAGCGGATATACCGATTCGCCAAAACGACCGAACCGAATCGATCCGCTGCATTTTGGACGGATGCGTGATGGCGAATGGACGGTTGCGGATTGATTTTCTCCAATCCGCCAATTTGGCGAACGGATGGCGGATTTGAGATTTCTTTGGCCGCAACCGAACCGCCAAACCGCCAAATCGCGAGCACCCCTAGTAATTTATAAGACTTTGTATTTTAAATTTGTTTAAATATTTTTTTTGTGTTTTCAATTGAAAAAGAATTTAAATATTCTGTTGAAAATTTTTTTTCAACTTGAATATATTTTTTGAATTGAAAAAAATAAACGTATTATTTATCTATAGTTTTTGATTTTTAAATCTAGCTCTAAAAATAATAAATAGAAAATATGATATAAGCTGGTTGGTTTTTATTTTAAAAAACATATGTAGATGTAACAATACAGAGACATACAATTTCTACTACTGCTCTGTTCATGGTTTTGGTGGTTTGAATTTTTATTATATTTTAAGAATTACAGATTGTAATACTTTAGCGGATGAATCATGCTGTGATTGTAATATGTGGATGAGGCATGCAGTGATCGTGATATTCTAAAGTTTCAAACTTTCTTTTTTTGGATGAGGCATACAGTGATTGTAATATTTTTTTAAGTCATTGACTGTAATACTTTTTTTTTTTTTTTTTTTTTTTTTTTTTGAGGAAGTGCACAAGTTGAATTATGTTAAAAATTTATAAAATTTTAAACCGCCAAACCGATTCGCATCCATCCGCCAAACGGCCAATCCGCTCAATCCACATTCGCCGAATTGGCGGACGGATGCGGATTAATTTTCTTCAATCCACCAATTTGGAGGACGGATGGCGGATTGGAGGTTTCGTGGCCGCAACCGACCTGCGCCCACCCCTACTATAAATGTAAATAAAATTTTTGAAAAGAAGAAGAAGAAAAAGAAGATGGAAACGAGAGTAATAACTCACATTCAGATTATCGAAGATCAAATAATAGAGAGGAAAAGGATATACATAAAATTAAAAAAGAAGATGAAATTTTTTTGTAGGAATAGAATTTTTCTAAATAAATTAAAAAACTTCTAGATATACATAAAATTTGACAAGAATAATGTGACAATGTTAGTTAATGTGTATTTGAATTTGTTGTTGAGCTAAATAAAATAAAATAAAATAAGATTGAATGCATATTTAGCTTTGGTTGTGAATCTTTAAAAAAAAAAAATGGTTGTGAACCTCAAAAAAAAAAAAAAAAAAAAAAAAAAGATTGAATGTATATTTAGCTTTTGGTTGTGAATCTTAAAAAAAAGAAAGAAAAAAGATTGTATGTATATTTAGCTTTGGTTTTGAAAAAAAAAAAAACAACAACATATGGGGAAATTAGTGGGTACCTATCCGCTGTGGATATTTAAATAATATCACTTACCCTACCCGACAGATAAGAAAAAAGGAAAAAATCCACGTATTTGGGTTGGGTCTCCATGGATACCCACATAGTAGGTTATCCATTGCCATCCCTATTCATTAGGGCTCCTTTTTTCCTAAAAAGAGGTGAATGAATTCCTACTAAAGTATTTGGGGGAATTCCTGAGCTCATTTGATACTGTTATTAATCGTAAAAATATGGTGAGGTAGTGGCGATAATCATATTAATCTCTTCGCTTTTTTTTATTAATTACAATATTTATTTACCGATCTTGACAGCATAAGTATTTAGGGCTTACAAACTTATATTTTTGATATCTTGATTAAGTTTTTCTTTTTAATTAGATTATGTGTTTTTTCATTTTTTCCAGTTAGATTCTAACTTCAATTTTTTTTTTTTTTGGTGACCAAATTTCTTGGTGTGCATGAGGCTTAAATTGGGGTCTATACAATGTGTTATCAAGTAGGCTCATATTGAAGTGGCATTGAATACAATCAATAGGCTGATTGAATTTATTTATTTATTTTTTCACAGATCTAGGGTTAGATAACCCCACAAACGAAAAACCAAAAAAAAAAAAATTAATATTATTTTTTATCGGGAAAAAATTGGGTTTATTAGTGAAAATATGTATTTATATATCATTCCACTGTATTTTAAATTTTATTAATTGACAAAATGATTGTTGTCTTTTAAACTTATTATGGTTTTGTAATAGTTTTTTTTTTAATCGTTTTTTTGCTTTGGAAAGTGTTTGGGTGTGTAAGGTGCATACCATATGTACTTGTGTAAGTTCTCAAAAATATATATAAGTCATCTCATAAAATCGCATAAATTCTTACAAATATATATAAGTTGTGATTTCTCAAATTTTTATGAGTTAACTTACGTATGTGAAAACTTATGCATGTTTATGAAAACTTACATAATTTTATAAAATAACTTACGTATATTTATGATAACTTACATAAATATATATGATATGTACTTGCAAACTTAAAAAATGGCTTTTTACTTTATCTCTAATTTTTGAAACTAAATAAAAAGCACAACACGAGACATGGACATTGCCGTTCCCTTGGATTGGATTGGGCCTAGGTGTAGCTCAATTGGGCCAGCACGACACAACACAAATAGAAATTGGATCAGGCCAGACACTACAACACATTTTGTCATGAATGCAAATAATAGGCATTACCGCCATCAATGCAAATATGGAAAGGTTTCAAAGTAGGTACATATGTCATGCATTCTAATTGTGATTTTGAGACTTATTCTTTCCATTAGATAAAATAATTTATTTTTTTCGTTATTTTTTTCTCTTATTCTCTATTATGTTATTTAATTATTCTTGTCGCTTACAATAAGACACACATTCCGCTAAGTCTTGAACTTTGAACTTGTTGGATTGACATAGTACAAAGCAGTAGCAATATTTCGATCAATATGATATATTTATACCTAATTTATTACCTTAATCATTTAAATATTAATTCTCTCTTTAATGAATTCATCACAAACTCAACAATTATTACGATCCACGTATCCAAGAATAACAAGAAAACAACTGCAATCTACAACCAATTTTAGTTTTTGTCAAATCTCAATTGTTTGCTTACCGTTATGAATTTTTCAGAATTATGTCAAGCTTTCAATATGAAATGTATTTGTTTGAGTAATCAAACTATCTCTTCACCAACTAAATTCGAACAAACTTCTTTGTTATTTATCTAAATAATGCATAATTTTGAATCACTCACTGAAACGGTTAAATTGACTTGGTTAGAAAATGCATACAAGTCATGTGATCATAGACATGAGTTAGGGATGAAACTTGAGATAAAGCCCGAAATGTATGACCCATGGTGATTGTCGGTGAAATTTCTTATATAATTAATAAGTTTCTAAACACTACTCACATATTTTAAAATACTTATTTCTAATTTATCAAATTTTTAAACTTTTTATATATTTCTAAAACACATTTTACATCTTAACAAAAATTTATATATTAACAAGGAGAGGCTTTAAGAACACGTTTTAAGTTTCATACTGCATCTAATGCAAGAGATGAATTCTCTCTGTTGTTTCTCCAAATAGTGCACGTTTCATTCTAAAAAAGAATGAGACTCTTTTTATGAATGAAGCAACCAAGAAATAAAAAAACAAAAAATTCCATTCAGCTGAGTTTTGATCATTAATCATGAATTTAAATAGAATTTTTTTTTTAAAAAAGTGAAAGATATATAAATAAATTTATTTTTCTTTTTTTCCTTTTTCATTTCTAAATTTGTATTTAAATTTATAGGTGTTCAAACAACTCACTGTTTTGTACATTTCAATGTGTTTCTATGTGTTTCAATGAAAATATAAGAATTTTACTTGTTAGAATATATTAGTAGTATATTAGCTAGTTGTATATGAGCTGTCTACCAACCAACTTTCATGATGTTGTTCCTTAGTGCATTGCCTCTTTCGGCCACTTTTGGCCCCCCTGTACACACTCTCCCCTATAAAGGAGAGTCTTCTCTGAACATTGTAACATACAACATTCAATACATCAATCATAATACTATCAATTTCTCTCTCTATCAATTTATCTTACATGGTATCAGAGCTATAAGATTTAGGCCTGTATTTTGTTGTCTCAGCGGCGGGCGCTATAAGATTTAGGCCTGTATTTTGTTTTCTCACCAGCGGGCAGCCGGCCGGCAACCTTGCCTTCGCTGCCCGCTGGAATTTTAGAAACAGAGGATGAACCAGAGGGTGAAACCAAGCCATGCTCTGTCTCTGTTTTCCCTCAACAACAAAACAAAACAAAACAAAAAACAAAAAAAAAAAAACAAAAACAAACAGGGAAACCCAACCTCTCCCTTCTTCTTCTCAGATCAGATCTCAGCCAAATTCCTCCAATGGCGACATCAACCCCACGCGAAGAGAGCGTCTACATAGCCAAGCTGGCCGAGCAAGCCGAGCGCTACGAAGAAATGGTGGAATTCATGGAAAAAGTCTCCTCCACCGTCGTCGCATCCGAGGAGCTCACAGTGGAGGAGCGCAACCTCCTCTCCGTCGCCTACCAGAACGTGATCGGCGCTCGTCGTGCTTCGTGGCGGATCATCTCCTCAATCGAGCAGAAGGAGGAGTCTCGCGGCAACGCCGACCATGTCTCTACCATCAAGGACTACAGGTCCAAGATTGAGAACGAGCTCTCTTCGATCTGCGACGGCATTCTCAAGCTTCTCGACACCAAGTTGATCCACCTCTACATCGCCGGAATCGATATCTGCCTCGTCGGCAACTCCGCCTCCATGGTTGTCCACGGCCACGACACCACCCTTCCGATCTCTCTCGACAAAATGCTCGTCCACTGTGAGGCACCTTCAAGAATCTCTGCTGGACCCAACAATTGCTGTCACCCAACACACCATTCCCACACACACGGTTTAAAGAGAGACAGCACACACACATAACACACCACACACGGCATCAACCTCCCGGCACCTCTTTCTCTGCAACTCTCTTTTCCTTTCTTTTTATTTTAATATTGCCCACCGACTCTTCTTTTCTTTAAACACAAAACCACTCTTATTTTTTTTTATTCCATTCTCCCCACACACACAGCTCCCAACACACCTAGCCTCCTCTGATTTTTACTTTATTTTATTATATATGTATATGTTTATATATTATCCTACCCCACCAGGGCTCAGAAACCACCTCTGATTTTTCTTATTTTTATTTTATTTCCTTCTCCACAAAAACCAAACCAACCACACAAACAAAAAAAAAATAATAATAATAATAAATAAATAAATAAATAAATAAAAACAAAAACAACCTCACTATTTTTTCTGCTCCACCAACCTTGTACCATTCTTGCCATCCAGCTTGCACAACACCCTTGTTTTATTCTTATCAGGGATCCACCCCGCTCACCATTTTACATCACACAAAAAAAAAAAAAAAACCTTTCTACCATTTTTATTATTTTTTTTTTATAACATCTCCACTCTGTGTTGAGCTGCTCTGCTCCACTTTTTCAATCCCTTTGTTTCAACCTCAAATAGGTTTTTATCTTCCCACCTATTTGAGTTTGAGGGGGGGGTTATACCTATATCATGGTGAGCATGGTTACACACCATGCGAACCACCCAAGCTGGTGAGCATGGTTATACACCATGGGAACCACTCAAGCCACCCCATGGCGCACTCCCTAAGTCGCCCCCTTGGTGCACCACCACAAGCTTCTACAACGGTCCGGCATGACCCCATAAACTGTCCCGACATTGATTCCGGTTAGCTTCAACATTGGTCCGGCATGACCCCGTAAACTGTCCCGACATTGATTCCGGTCAGCTTTTCCAACGGTCCGGCATGACCCCGTAAACTGTCCCGACATTGATTCCGATTAGCCCCTACAACGGTCTGACACGACCATACCGTGTCTTCAGCAACAATTTGACACAACCATACAGTGTCTTCTGTCCTATTTTCTTGTTTTGTTACTCTCTCCAAACTCAAGTTGGCTAGTACCCATCCTCCTTGAGTTTGAGGGGGGCTGTTAGAATATATTAGTAGTATATTAGCTAGTTGTATATGAGCTGTCTACCAACCAACTTTCATGATGTTGTTCCTTAGTGCATTGCCTCTTTCGGCCACTTTTGGCCCCCCTGTACACAATCTCCCCTATAAAGGAGAGTCTTCTCTGAACATTGTAACATACAACATTCAATACATCAATCATAATACTATCAATTTCTCTCTCTATCAATTTATCTTACATTACTAATGTTTCCGTTTTGATGAAAAAAAATAAAATAAAATTTAAATAACAAAAACAAAATGAGAAGAAGCAAACAATTTCAGGCACAGATGAAACTAAAAAACAAAAACATTTTGCACCACCCAAAAATCACATAAGAGCTACCTTCATACATTTAAAAACAAGGTGGTGAAATAAATGTTTTACATAATCCAATATTCCATCACAAAACATTCCCCTACAACATTTTATACAAACAACAAAATGTTAAAGCTGAAGAGAAAAGATTTACACTAAAATACCCAGAAACACGGCATGCACATATGCTCAACGTACACGCGGTGACTGCCAGCAGGGCGGCAATGGGGATGCTAACGGTGTCGGATTCATGGGTGACCGGTGATGTCTTGCTGCCGACTTACCAATAGATTCCGATGCTCTGGTTGGGTGTGTTTGGCTACGTTTTTGGGAGCTTGAAGCTGTTCTAGCGTCGCTAAGACCTCTGCCATTCGTGGTCGGAGTTTGGGCTCGGTGCTTAAAAGCTGTAAGGCAACTGTAGCAGCTGCATAAGCTCCTTTTTTTTGTACGGACCCTCCAACTTTGTGTCCATTATTCTGAATAATTTTCGTTTGTCGCCCAAATACGACTTTGCCCAGTCCACTAGGTTCTGCTCCACGGCTGCCTTTGATTTGTCGATGGCACGATGTCCGGATAATAGTTCCAGCAAAACAACCCCGAAGTTGTATACATCACTTTTTGCAGACAACCGACCTGTGCATCAGCAAGCGCTTTAGTACAGATTTACCATTACCCCATGCAACATGAATATGCGGCAAAATTTTAAAAAGTAATATACAGATATGGCTAAGATACGATAAAAAAAATTATAATTTTAGTATTATATTATACATGAGCTCAAAGAATAGTGAGTGAGAAACTATTATTTATGAATTAGTTTAGAAGTCAATAGTATGCTCAAGTGTATATGTTAATTTGATAAAATCTGAAAAGTAGAATACTACATCAATCTCACTATTTTTTTATTTGGAAAGAAATAGAAAATATTGAGAAATTATTCTTGTATTTATTCTAACAATTATACTCTAATATTATGCAAAAAATTATTTCAATTTCAACTTTGCAATAGCTTAGATGTGTGACCTACAGTGTCTAAAAAGTATCCGATACTTCTCAAATTGAAATCAAGCGTCGGGCAGTTGATGTACCTGTAGCAACATATTCGGGTGCTGCATAGCCTTGGCCAATCCAAAATCAGACAGTTTCGCATTGAAGTCCTGCATCCCAAGAGCATGATCAAGATGAAATCCATATAAGCATGAATTTTTTTTTTCAAGCAATTTCAGCAATTATTCTTTCTCTGTTTGGCAAAGCTTTATTCTGAACTATTTTGTTTTTAGTAAAATTCTTCTAAATTTTTGTCAAAAGTTTTACTTTTCATATCTGTCTAATCTACAAGAACGTATTTTTTTTTAAAAAAAATTTAAATTCTACTTTCTAGCTGCTTCTTTTCTTTTTTGTGTAAATTTTTTTCAATATTTTTAATTTTTATTTTTAGGGTTTTCTAGTATAATAGGACCTAAAAGTGAATTTGAATATCAGCAAGGCAATTGAACAAAAAGAAAACTCCACATCGACACCACCAGGCATTATTACTCAGAGGATGCAGAACAGAGAAAACAAGCATAAACTGGCTCTACTTAAGAGCCATTTATCATAGCCTTCTTTTAGCTTCTCTCAAATGTTTTTGTTTGTTACATAGACACTTATAGTTCCACCAAAGTACCTATGTCCACTGGATATGACACATGTAAAGGTGTTGGATTTGTGTCCAACACTCATACACAATTTGGACACTCTAATAAGCTAAATTTTTTTATGATGTCTGAAAAAGAAAAAAATTCAGATTTGCTAGAAAAGAAACAGTTCTAGTCTCTCACATGAATGAGAAATAGAAATTCCAAAATTTTCCTAGATCTTATTTAATTGTAAGTACATTTTTACATAATTTACAACATCTTATTTGAGAATATTATACAATATACAATATACATGTTCATACATATCCCAATATCCTAATGCTTGGACACCCACCCACCCACACCCGCACACAATATTCATACTATGAAAACAACTGGATAGCACTTAACACATAAGACAACCCGGTTTTGTCAAGCTACAACCACCACAACACACTTTACCGGGTGCGAATTTAGAAAGGAGAGGAACCTATGTCAAAATGCCACACTTTACTAGTCCTCAGCCAGAAGGGAGTGCAACCTAAACACACTTTTTCGGTCGCAAATTTGGAAAGGCGAGGAACCTCTATCAATGTGGCACGCTTCACTAGACCTCTGCTAGAAGGAAATGGACCCTTAACATGGCACAACCATCACCCAACTCATCACAAAACACCTCATTCCAGAATACATAATCGAACACACGACATTTAACACACATAACCGATTTAGCTACAAACAATATTATCCTCCACCGATAGCCAAGGAACAAACCTCTAGAGACACTATCCCCATAAAGCCATATACTTAACAATGACAACATTTAACCCGTGGAATAAACTGTTTCCTTTTCTCAATTCAAAATAGAGTTCTTACAAAATGTCTCTTTGGTTTCAAACACAAACCCCGTTACTCCAAATCCCTAACTCTGACAACAACTTAACAAAACTCTCATTTTACAATCACATTTCCTCCACTCATTTCATTTTTTTTTTTGTTTTACAAAAGAGTTAACAATTTTCATTTGGTTTTAAAACCAATTATGGTTATTCTAAAACACCAATGCTCATAACAAGAGCCAACACCCATTTTAAATTATCAAAATCCTAATACAAACACAATACAAATAGGTTCCTTTTCTCAAAACAAATTATAACAATTAGGGATTTACTATTCCAATATCCTAAACATACCCAATGAACACTTAATTTCCCAAATCAATAACCACACAAGATTAAAACTTCCAAAACAACAAACCCTAACCCTCAAAATAATGCTTCTAGAAAATCTCATAGAAATCATGCTTTTAATGCGATAAAAACTACTATATGTCTATCTATTATGAGGTGTTGAAAAGGAGCAAGGAAATCCCTACCTCTTGAAGCGAAGAGGAAAAAAACTGAAAATCCAATGGCGGTGAAAATACGATCCACTCAGATTAAATAAAAGCCCTAGCTGAGCTCTACGTTTTGGTATATGGAACTAGGGATAAAAAATGATTATAAATAAATGAAACCCAAGCTTGAAAAGCTTAAAGGGTAAAAAATGGCAACTAGGAGAGAGAGAGAGAGAGAGAGAGAGAGAGAGAGAGAGAGAGAGAGAGATCTAAAAGATGAAACACCGTCGCAGGCACAGTCTAACACTTAATCACACAATCACGGCTACAGTCTACACATTTGCGGGCGCGACCATGCTTGTCGCGGTCATCCATCGCGGGCCATCATGGGCAATGCAACTCCTCTAGGCCAACAAACCTAAAAGTGGTTTTTGATCTTGACCCATCGTGGGCACGATAACAATGTTCATGGGCGTGAACAAGCAAAGTCAGTACCATTGAGTTGCTGTTTTGAAGCTATCCCAAGGTGTTCCATGGTCCAAACTCAACAAGGTAAGGTCAAAGCCAATCGGAACAACATGTTCCAACGGAAAAGGCAAAAAGGGTCGGGTCTTGGCTCAAGCCACTACA